CTAATGAAGTACCTCCCCCTCCTCACTGCAGTAACCCCCCCTTCTACTGCACACTCTCCTCCCCCAACCATCCTTCCTGCAGTAACCCCCTCCATCCTCACTGCAGGGGAATAAGGGCCACTTGTCCCAGGTGGCAGTCCACCAAATCAGCACCCTCCTTCTTCTTTATCTAACGGTGAGCGCTCACTATAATCCATACTAAAACCATAGGAAACTTGACGGTTCCAGTGGAGCTGCCGCAGTGGGACTGTCCCAGTGGATCTACGTTGGTCCTACAACGTAAAGGTAGGTGGTCCCAGCAATGACAAGAGAGGGACATGTGAGGAGAAGAAAACATTTTAAAAAAAAAAGACGTGCTGCAAAGTAAATAACGACAACGATTATCTACAGCAGACTCAGATGGTCGGACAAAAGTGGGGCCGGTCCCAGTGGAGAAAAAACATAAAAAAAAAGACGTGATGCAAAGTAGATGACGACAACGATTATCCCCAATGTCGGTTGCAAAAAAAAGTGGAGGGCGATCAAGAAGAATGTCTACTAAAAAAAAAAAAAAAAAAAAAAAAAGATGGTCGAACAGAAGAAAACGAAAAACTGGGGCTGTCCCGATGGGACTGGCACCGTGGGGGGCTGTCCCAATGGGACTGTCACCGTGGGGGTTTGTTACAGTGGGGTTGTCCCAGTGGGACTGTCCAACAGTGTATCCGTATCTGGGAATATCGGACTACTATAGATTGCAGATATATTCTCATCAATGTGCGTTCCAGAGTGGGGCTGTCCCAGGGGAGCTGCCGCTGTGGGACTGGGAAAACAGAAAAAAAATAATAATAATTAAAAAAAAAATGGTACGGTATCAAGCCTCGTTAGGTTCGGCAGGTCTGGTCACTGGTACGGTACCAGACAGACCTCGTTAGAACGCGCGCAGTCATTACCAGGCCGTATTTGGTGCAACTTTCAGTCCAGATGCATCAACCATGACCGGGCTACCCAATTTTTTTTCCGGTGAAAGACGCTACCGTCTTCCCCCCCAGAACATAACGCACGCTTAAAATGAATGTATACAAGTTATATTTCCGGCCAGATACAGCCAAAATGAGGGTGCGTTGTGTTCGGGGGAAGACGGTAGGCTTGGCAGGTCAGGTCTGGAGGTGGTGACGATGGTTTGACTTTGACTTTGGGCCTTGCCGCACCACTTATCAAATGCGAATAAAGACAAAATCATGGCCGGTGCATCTTGCCACATTGTAGCGGAAGATACATATATTTTCTCATTTGCCCATTTCCTGAGAAGTGTGGCGAGACCCTTCACAGTATGAACGCAACTCTTTGCATAGAGAAGATGCAGTTGAGGGAGGTCAGGGAGAGAAAAAAAAAAAAAAAAAAAAAAAAAAAAAAAAAAAAAAAAGCAAATGAGGGAGCTAAGGGGGAAAAGGAGGATAACACTACCGTCTTCAGCCGAAGAATTAAACCTACGACCATTATCACTGTATGTATCTAGACTAAAAGTTCGCCTAAATACAGCTATAGTTGATCCGAAGACACGAATATTACAAAGGCGATGATGACATTCTTTGCATGCCCAGGACATTATATATTACTATTATTAGACATATATTGTCACATTGTGAATCAGAGCGCAAAAAAGGGAAAAGAAAAAAGGAAAAGGAAAAAAGGGAAAGGGAAGGAGGTAAGGAAAGCTCCACCTGTTCATAAAAAAAAGTATTAAAAACATATATTTTACTATTATTACAGATACATATAATTTAAAAAAAAAGAATGGACAAAATGACAGCACGCGAACAAAAAAACCGAAACGGGGGTGGGGGGGGGGGGGCGAAGAACACATGGAACGGGGATTGGAGGGGGGGGGAAATAAAAGCTAATGAGGACGACGAGGAAGTACACATACATAATTAAAACAAGATAATTAAAAAAAGATAATTAAAAAAAGAATGAAAGTGACAAAACACGCGAACAAAAAAAACGACCGGGGGAGGGGAGGAGGGGAAGGGGGGGGGGGGGGGGGGAGGGCGAGGCGGGGAAGAACACATGGAACGGAGATTTGAGTGGGGGGCGGGGGGGGGAATAAAGGTAATGAGGACGAGGAGGAAGAGTGGAGATGGGATGCCGATGATGAGAACGGAGTCCAGATGATGATGACGTGGAGAAGTAGGAGGTAGGAGGAGAGGGAATGGTACTGCGATTTATTTTCTTTTATTTTCTTTTTTCTTCTCTTTCTTTTTTGTTTCTTTTTTTTCTTTTTTGGGGGGCCCGGGAGAGGGGCGGGGGGGGGGAAGACGAAGGGCGAAATTCTGGTCCTCTTGAGTTCATTATGTTTCATCCCTACCTTATACTCCTCCTCCTCCTCCTCCTGCATACACACTTCTCTCCTACTCCACCTTTCCCCCTTCCTCTTCCTCCTCCTCCTCCTCCTCATCATCATCATCATCATCTTTTTTTTTTTGTATTTTCCGATAATTTTCCTGAATTTCCCAACTCCCCAAACAGTAAGAAAATGTGCTCTTGGGGGAATTTTATTTTATTTTTGCCCTCCTTTTTTTTCTGGGAAAAGAAATCTTAATTCTTCAAATTACGAAAAAACGTGAAAGAAATTTCGGGGACAAAAAAGCAAAAAGCGACCAAGGAGATTCAAAAAGGGTTCCACAGGTGTTAAGGCTTTTGGGCCATGCTCAGACGAAATCTTCCCTGACGGAATCTGACCACAACTGCGGGCAGATACACAAGGGGAAGAAGTCGCATTATGGCTATCCCGCTCGAGGCAAAACTGTGAGACTACCTACCTTGGGACTTCTTCCCCTGACTGAACCTAACCACAACTGCGGGCCAGATACATCTGGCGAAGAAGCCCCGTTGCCCTTTCTCCCGCGCGTTTCGTACCCCCTCGATTCTCTCCTTTTCCTTTTTCGTTCGTCGCCATTGATGATAAGGAAGATGAGGAGTTGAAGGAGGAGCGGGAGGAGGAGGGGGAGGAGGAGGGGGAAGAGGAAGAGGGCAGGAGGAGGGGGAGGAGGAGGGGGAGGAGGAAGAGGGCAGGAAGAAGGGGAGGAGGAGGGGGAGGAGAAAGAAGAGAAGAAAGAGAGACGGTGAAGAAGAAGAAGATCATTCTTTCCACTTTGGCACACAATTAATGATGACGGAGATAAGAAAGAGATGGACGCAGGGCGGCGAGGAGGAGGAGGAGGAGGAGGAAGAGGGGAGAAGGAGGAGAGGAGAAGTCTGGATGGAGGAGGAGAAGGACAAAGATGAGGTAGGGATGAAACATAACGCAGCCAAAGAAGGATTGAGGAGGAGAAAGAGAGAGTGAAGAAGGGAGAGGAGGAAGACATCTCGAAGAGCAGAGAGAGAAGAATGCCGAAAAGGGAGGTCGGCCGTTCAGGCAGGCCTTTTTTTTTTATTGTCATTATATAGTATATTACGGGGAACCACCCCCGTAGCAGCCCACATACGTGGTCAAGCCTCCAACGAGGGAACATAAGGGAGCTGCACCCCCCACCAGCAGGTGGGCGGTACCAGCACCAAGCGGCATTCGTTTCCTCTTTTTTTTATTCAATCACCGTAGAAGATAGCGCGTCTTCCTTTTTCGGAATTTTTCTCATTTTGTTCCAACGCGCCTTAAATATCCATTATAAAAATCGATGTGCAATCATCTCTCCTCAAAACCGATTCCACCGTATACTTCTTTTTTTTTTTCCCCTTTTCTGATTTGTGTGTGTGTCTGTGTGTGTCTGTGTGTGTGTGTGTGTGTGTGTGTGTGTGTGACGATGTGTGTGTGGGTGTGGGTGTGGGTCTGGCGATGTGTGTGTGTGTGCGCTTGATGATCTGTGTGTGTGTGTGTGCGTGATGGTGTGTGTGTGTATGTGTGTGTATGTGTGTGTATGTGTGTGTGACTCACACAGACAGACAGAGAGAGCGAGAGAGAGAGAGAGAAGTGGAAGCAAAAGCGCGGTGAGGAAGGGGGCGAAGCAGGAGAATGAGGTAGACGACGAAGAGAGAGACAGGGAGGACAAGAGAGAGAGGCCTACCTCTCGCTCTCGTGCAAGGCGCAGCTCGCTATCTCCAACGATCGCTGTGTCGCTCCCTCACGGATGCGGAGAGATGGTGCGTGCGGCACTGATGTGGGACGTTAGGCTTGCGGCGAACTGCCGCCGACGGGGTGGGGTGAGCTGGGGTGGGGTTGGGGTGGTGGCAACCGCGCCGTGCACGGGTGGCGCCCTTGCGGTGTGTGAAGGGCTTGAGAAAATGCCGCGGAGCGTCCAGTACCTTTCTTTTTTTTTTTCGTTTTTTACAAAAGTCGAGATCACTCCATTGTAAAGAGTAAGAGGCCGGCGGGAATCCTCAACAAACAACCCGGGGAAAGGCCCCACTTGCGCAAATTAGAAGATTTCGGCCGTTGATCTTTGCTATCTACGGTCAGTACCTCTTAATTCGAGCACGTGGGACCTAGGCCCCGGAGTGTCCAACCCTCTGGGGCCACTACCCAGTTTCGGCGCGGGCGTTGGGAAAGCGTCCAGAGACAGAAGTGGCCAGTGCGAGACAGCTGCTCTGACTGATCCTCAACCCCGAAAAACAAAAAAACACAAAAAAAAAAACCTCCGTCTAACTTCGACGGGCCAGGTCCTCTGGGACCTGCGGTTGTTGTGCTGACTCTCCCTCCATCCAACTATGTCCCTTTCTGCCTGCCCACTGCGGCCAGCGAACCGAGTGCCCTGGTATGGCTAAATCCTAACCTCTCCTACAAGCTAATCCAAATAGAGCCATTGCCCCAACACAGACAGCAAGTCTTTTGGAACAAGGATCTTCCTAGTCCGGCTGATGCACATCCTTTCCTTCTCCAGTCTGCTTGGATCGATCTTCTTAGGTTTGATCTGAACGGATGCCAGATCTCTTTGTTGCAGAGCTCTCTCTTCTTGAAGACTCTGCTGTCTCGTTGGTGCCAGATCACCTCAATGCCAGCAGCTCTGGCTGTTTGGGCCACGTATCCCCAGCCTGTCTGGATTTGCAGGTTCTCAGAGACTCAGCTTGGGCTGGAGGGTGGCCTGCTGGGGCCAAAGGTTAGCCGAGGGTTTGTTGTGAATGGGAGGATGTGTCCTGGGGTGGTGTGCTGATGAGCAGTTTCCGTGGCATTCGGGGGGAGGAAGACAGGCTATACGTTCTCTCTTCCCTTTCCCCTCCCGCCTCTGATGTGTTTGATTCCTCTTCATTCCTGATTTCTTCTACTTTGGGTCATGTTCACTTAGGGTTTGTGACTGGGATCTGGGATCCCCTCGATTGATTTGCCCTGCTGTATCTTCCCCCGAAATCCTGTTTTCTAGGGATTGATCATTACTGGTTTGGTACTGAAGGGCAGAGGTCGATTGTCCAGGGGGCTGAGTTAATCCTTCCCTCCTGGGGAAGCAAACAATGCTCAGTTCCCAATTTTCATTCTCCATTTTTGTCGTACAGGGAACCTGTCTCTATGGGAGCAGTGGTCGTGGCTCTTCCAGCCCTAATGGGAAGAGGCGTGTGTCTGCCATGTATTCAAATTTCTAATAAGAGCCTTGGGCACTGGGCCCTGATTTAAAAAAAAAAAAAAAAAAAAAAAAAAAAGAAGAAGAAGAAGAAGAAGGAATGCCACCTAGTAAGACCCACTCTCTAGACCACTCAAATGACTGACCTGTTAGGCTTTGCCAAAACGTCTCCCACCATTTCCAGATTCTGTTCGAAGCTGGGCAATCCCACCACAAGTGTGGCGTCGATTCAAACGCCCATTGGCAACCGCTACAGGTCAGATCCAGTGAAATGCCTCTTTGAGCTAGCCAAACGGCTGATGGACTGGCCAGGAAGGACAGCAGCCACAACAGGGCTGCTTGTCTTCGGTTGGGGATCGCTTTTAACTGTTTCCAACACCTAGAGAGTGACTGCCTGATCTTCTCAGGAGAGATTTGCAGGACCTGTAACCATCTACTGACTGTAACCGCCAGGGGTTGTCTAGGGGGGCTCGGCATTCTATACCCTATGGGCCTCGTTAGACCCTCTATGGAAATCCGATTTTTAGGAAATCGGCGTCATTACACCGCGTCCTCATTCACCAAATTCCTTGAATGAATATGAAAACGCTCCCGAGAGATTTCCTTGGATTCCTCAGAATCTCCAGCCAAAACGTCATTGGATTCAAGGGGTCCTCGAGAGGTCCCTTGGGTTCAAGGAGCCGAGATTGACGGAGTGTTATAGAGCGAGCGCCGACAGGAAAATTTGGAGTCGATGTTGGTGCACAGGTCGTCCGTGGTCCATTGGGAGGACATCGCCGGCCTCCAGTACCCAACGGTCTTCCACCGTTACCGTTGGCGTGAAAATGCATGGGGATGGTTCTTCAGCTGAAAGGCGCTTCAAGAAGCAGGGCTTTCCATGTGCGTGACGCGTGTCATCGACCGTGGTGTCCAACGGTCGAATTTTTTATTTTTCTACAAGCGATGTTGAAGCACTGTCGATCGATTGCAGGCATCTGCCTTGCGTGTTTTGTCGGTATTGTCGGGCGCATTGATGCAAACTTTGTTTGGTACACGCTTCGCATGCTGCGATTCATGACATACGTCCTCCTGCGGTTACCGCTCCTGCCGCTGGCCACTCTTCTCCTGCTCCTTGTCGTGTTGTTCCACGTGTGCATCATTGTGCGAGGTCCTGGCAGCAGACAGAAATGACGAACAGTGAGGAAGACGACGATGGATAGACGGGAAACCTCCAGCAGACAGCCGATGAGTGGCATTGACTACTCCACTCCGCAGCTTCTCCTCGTAGTAGTCCGTCGCGTCATCAACCTGTCGGAGATCCTCCCATGTCCCTTCCGTCCTTCTCCTCATCCACCATCTCAGCATCGCCCGGGGGATCACACCCGATGCCATGGCGCAACAGAATTGCACAATGGATTCCGATAACGACACACAATCGAGTGCATTCATTACTTGTTGCATCAAGTGCCTCTGCCTACGAACGAACAATCCCATCCTCAAGCGAGTTGTCGTTCTCTCAATGCGATAACGCATGGCGACGACTGACACAGTTGCGACCACCGTGCTTCTCTCCAATGTCGTTAATGCCTTCACACCACCCCGGAGCTCTCGTTCCATCGTCAGGACTTGCAATGCGCAAGCACCCACCACTCATTCGCCCACCGGCGCCCTCGCTGCACCTTCTACAAGTTGATGGGGACCGCACTCGCACTCTCCATGTTTCACGGAAGCTTTACGTTTGCGCTAAGTTGTGATCGCCGGAAGAGCATGCGGAACACGAAGGCGACGTCGCAGTAGAGAAACTCATACACACTATGTCGCCCAACGTTCCAATGTCATCCTTTTAAGCCATGACCACAATCACTCCTTCACACAGACATTTCACCCTAGTCTCCGGTCCAACAGTCGGGACGCCTCAAGGCTCATGCACTAATGTGTCACAACAGAGGGTTCAAATTTTGAAATTGGAATGGGGATGTTGGCGCCCTTTTTCTTTGTCAGGGCAGTAGGCCTTCCCGCCGCTGCCACTGAACCACGCCCGAGGATGCACGGACATCCCAGCACGATGACGGACATCCACCCCCGCGGCCACATGTATGCGTATGAAATTGGACGTTGGAGACCTCTAAGGGTTTTCCTTGGGACCCATTGAATTAGGACGCGGTATAATGAAGACGCCGAAAACCGAAAAATTTTCCAAGGACTTCATCCTAATTCCTGAGGATTTACCAAGGAGGGTCTAACGAGGCCCTATCCGGAAAGTGTAACTCACGATAGGGAGATTCTCTCTGTTACTGCCCTTAGCCCTCCAAGTCCAAACGGTGGGATCCAATCTTATATCCTCTATCGCTTGTTTGTCTGCAAATACTGAGCATACTAGGGTGTCATCCTGCCTTGTTTTTTCAAACACTCTAACCTGGCTAACTAACGAACCCAACTCGGGGTGGGTTCGTTCCTCTACCAGCTTCAGTGTGCCTGAGGCGGGGGACTGAACAAACCAGCATTGAAAATTTCTTTTGTCGTCTGTGTGAGCGATGAGTTTTCAGAATTTCAGTGATCTATTGGAGGAGCGGTACCAGGTGTTGGGAGGGTCCAGACTCGCTGGGTCAAGGCGATCCCTCCATGCTTCCGGAATAGCATCTATTATCTTGTTCCTCTTCTCCTTAACTTGTCTTATAGAGTCGAGTTTTAACTGAAGTTCTTATGAGGTTAGTCAGCGGCTGCTTGTCGGATTCCAGAGATTTTTTATTGTTATTACCCATTTCTCCATCCAGGTTCGGTCGAAGCTGCCTTTGGTTGTGTCTGCCTTGAGCCACTAGTTGGTTGATTCGGTTATGTGCGGGTTTTCGAAGATCAGTTCGTTGAGCACTTTTTGTCTTGTAACCGGTTGTTCCCACGTGTCTGGTTTGGGTCGTCTTCATGCTTTAATGATTTGTGTCCAAAACGGAGACAATTATTCTTCTCTGATAAGAGTACATTAACATGGAGGTCCAAACATCTTCTGGGTGAGTGAGTTCTCATTCCCTCATCAGAGTCTGTTCCCTAAGCGAGATTCAGTGCTCAGTTTTCTCTGTCGAGATTGCCTTGATGATCCATCGCACAGGCGTGGCCGCATTCCGTCTTTCCAGATCTGTTATCCCAAGTGCCCCTTCTTGCCGGGGGGTGGTGATTAACTCCCAAGCGACTTTTGAAATGAAGGATTCTTCCTCATATGCAAAAGGTTTCCACACAAATCTGGTTGTTCGCCTTCTTACCATTGGGCACAACTGTTGTCCCAGTTTACGGACTGCTCCTACAAACCACAACAAGGATAAGAGCGAGATATTAACTACCATTGCGTTGCCAAAGATTGATATGTGCGGGGCTTTCCCTCAAGTGGCTGGTCTATGCAAGACTTTTTGAAGCAGAAGCCCATCCCGGTCAGCCTTGTTGTCACACAATGCTATTTGTAGCCCCCAAAACCTTTCTGTGTTGTTAATTTCCAATTGTTTCATCCCCCAACTGCAACTAGGCGAGTATTGCTTAGGCAAAAAAAACACTGATTTATGTCAATTTATCGATGTCTCAGAGAGTGTCGAATATTCATCTAGACAGCCTTTGAGCGCTCCCAGGCACTCAGTGCTATTCTTGGATATGGCCAACAAGTCGTTTGCTAAGGCCTTAGCTTGACATTCAAGGTTACCCACTTGGAAGTCTTGTATATGCGGATGAGATCTGATATTATTCATTAAGACCTCTAGCTGGATTACGAAGAGCAAGGGTGCTAAATTGCTAATGGACATCCCTGTCTGAGGGAGCGAGACAAGGCAAAATCCCATGAGATTTTCCCATTCACCAACACCGCTGCAGTTCAGTACACGTACATTGTTGTGATCCAGCTGCGGAAGTTCTCTCCTAAGTTCAATAGTTTCAAGGTGGAGAGGATATACGATCAATTAACTCGGTCGTATGCCTTCTCCAAATCCAAGAGAAGAACCATCGTATTCAGCTTATCTTCTGAGATGACTTCTAAGGCTTGGATAGCGGTCGCAATATTATTAAATATCATGCGACCTCTGACAAAAGCGGCTTGGTCGTCCTTTACTAGATCAGGGAGGAACGAACTCAGTCTGCGGACTAGCGTATTGGCTAATAGTTTATAGGAGATGTTCAACAAAGCTATTGGACGGTAATTTCTTACCTCAGACTTATCCCCTTTCTTATACAGAACTGGGATAATCTCATTACGCATGTTTTTGGTTAAGCTTCCTCCAATAAGGACTGAATTGTAGAGGTCGACCAGATTTTCTTTTATTTCATCCTACATAGCCAAGTATAGTTCCGAGTCCACTGGGATACCGTCATCGCCCGGAACTTTCCAATGTGCCATCGACTTGAGTATGGTTCTGGCTTCTTTATTAGTAATTTGCCTATCTATTAAGAGACGAGCCGAGTTGGGCAATCGCTCCTTCGTGTTATCCCAGTGGGAGGACTGTAAAAACAGGTCTGAATCGGTCGCTTGGCCCTGTAATCGAGAGGTGAGGATGTCCTCGTAATACAGTGTTGCATATCGCTGAGTTTTGCAAGGTCCCTTGCATGAGGGTTTTGGGGGTCAAAGGGATGGTTTAACTCAGTAATCGGTTGTGAAGTTCGTCGGGGAATGAGTTTATGAAAGACTTCCTTACTCATCCTATCATACATTGCTATGCCCTTGACCCTCAGTCTCTCCGACCATGTTTTAGAATTTATATGTTCTAAGGCATCCCATTCTGACAGCAATCTTGTTATTTCCTTACCCCAAACCATGAGTGAAACCGCGTATCGTTCCATTTTGTATTACGCCTCCTCTACTCTCCTCTTAAGCCTAGCTTCCTCCTTGTTCCTATTTAATGTTAGGATCCTTGAGAACACGTTCAGCTGATTAGAAAAAATAGTAGAGCCCGTCTGCCACCACTCCTCAAGCTCGGCGAATCGATCTTTCGCTTGTTCCCATTCGATCCAAAAGGATTTCATCCATGCTACTAATCCCGGGTCTTGCAGGTTCTGGATGTTAAAGCGAAATAACATTTTTTCCTCGGTACAGTTGAAGTGTGCAATTGTAGGAGCACAAGTTTGTGATCTGAGTTGGGTGTGAATATTTATTGTGTCTACCTGACCCCACAGATTCTTTGCGATCAAAAAATAATCCAGTCTGCGACTGATTATCCCTATGTCCTCCCGATGGTTTCAAAACCACGTATGTCCTTCTTCCTGTGGGTGTGAGAGGTGGTACGGGTCTATGAACGAAAGCTTGTCCATTAGTCTTAGAAGACTTAGGACGTCCGTCGGATTTTGGCAGCCTGGTTTAATGGCCGCTGAGTCCAAGGACACGTTCCAGTCGCCTGAAAGAATTATATTGGGACAAATGGGAATTAGTAAATTCGGATCATAAAAAAAAATTGCTCTCTCTCTCTCTTACCTGTAGGAGCATACACGTTGACCATAAGTCATTCCTTCTCATCGGCCCACACCTTCAGCCAAGCCCAACGTCCCCAAAGATCCGCATAGTAATCTAGGATTTCCAGCTCTGCATATCTATGAACTAGTATGGCAACCCCTCGTCTGGTGCCTTGGGCAGGGGACGGAATTTGAGGATCATCCCACCAACAACCTAGATCATTTACCATGTTTTCACTTAACTTACTTTCGTGCAAACATGCCACCTGGACTCTCTTATCGTGAATCCACGACTTCGGTCTAGCTTTTTTTAACTTACCTAACGAGTCAACCGACCCTCTCTTATTCCAGGCGGAGAGGCAAATTTTACCCATTCATGCTTTATCTCCCTGTCGCTTGTTGGATTGGAGCAACCGTTCCTGATGTTGACGGTTGAGGTTCCCATGGTGCTTGTAGGAATTCTCTGATGAACTTGGAGTTGAATCTCTTATCTCTTGCCAATTTGTTGTTGAGTTCCACCAAGAATTCCCCCATCCAAAGCGGAGGAACCTTGATTCTTCGGAGGTCTGGTCGTCTTCCTTCCGCAACCCACTGAGTGGGAGGAGTCTCATCCTCTCTTGTTCTAGTTTGATCAGTTGAGCCGTTTCCATACGAGCATCAAAGATTGAGACGAAGAATTTCAACCTCTTGCCATTCGCCAGGTCCAGGATGAATCTGCCCATTGGTTCGTCTGGTATCAGACGGACCATGAACTTCCCTCGAACGGCCGCCTGAACGATGTTTGAGACCGCGGTTGGCATTGACTGCTCTGGAGAGGTTGTGTTGAACAACTCTGGCACACCATCTCCACTGATCCACGCAATAACTGAGAGCGTCTCCTTTGCTGCAATACACATGATTGGTAAGATCTTGTTTTCCACATTATCCAACTGGCCGCGGCCCAAGGTGGTAGGTATTCTTCTTCTGGTGGTCTTCATGCCGGGTATGCCGATTATTGTCTCTTGAATGTCTGAGCCCTCGGAGCTTCGGAATGAGGCTACCGAGTCCTCCCTTTCGATCTCGTGACCCTCATTGTCCACCCTTCGGTGCTTCCCCGGAGTGCTTCCGGGTATTCTTCCTCTTGGTGTTGCCGTACCCGGTCGTCCTGATCCCCCGGGTGCCTGACTTGAGTTAGTCCTCCTCCTCTTCCTAACTATTGTTCTACCTACTTGCCTCCCGGGAATAGACGCGTGGGTCAAAGCGCGTTCCGTGCTTGGTATGGCTGGAAACCATCTACATATCCCGGGTGGGCCATCTAGGAGAAAAGTCCCGATGGTTGCCCGAGCGGGTGCTGAATGCTTGGTTGAGCAAACGCCATCTCCTAGAGAAGCTGGGCAAGAAAATCGTTCGGTTGCATCGCTTGTGGCAGAGTCAAGTATGTCGGATTCTGATAAACGTTTGCAAATGTCCCACCCGGTGTTTGGCTGCCTGCTCCTCCTGCTGACAGGACCGCTGGTTGGACGCTTCCTCCTCCTCTTCCCAGAGGTCCCTGGTACACCGGTTTTGACGAAGCTTCTTGTATTGCTTTCTCTCTACCCTCTTGCCCCCCTGATTCACCTTGCTTTTGTCTCGTTCTGCCTGTCCTTTTGCACTGCTCCATTGAGTGAAAGAACGCTCGACATCTGCGGCAACATGAGGCTTTCGACGAGGCGAGCTTGACAAGCAGTTCGTCTCCTTCGAAGGTATCCACGGTTATGAAATCATTCATGTTTTGTCTGGTCTGCGAATCCAGGTCAAACTTGATGTTTACCAGCGTCGGTCTCATTCAGTCTTGTTCAGGCGGATATACTTGAATAACTGGGCCGATAGCTTGTCGTATATGTGACTCAAAATAAAACATGGCATCCAGTGGGACCTGCACCACAATGACCCAAAAGGTCGTAATCTTTTTCAATCTTCGTTGTTCTCTCAATTGTGCATTTGTGAGCCATGACTTGAACTCCAGCTTGTATGTGGTGCCCCCAAGTTCTACTTCAACATTTCTTTTGTCCACGAGCTAAGCAAAGATTGTTGTGCTCTTCGCTACGTAAGAAGCGACATTCAGGCTTTCCACCTTGACTCTACCCCTGCTGAATCCTTCTCCAATGTCTCATGTTTGAAGTCTCTCATCTTCATAAGCCCGAATAAGATCCTCTTTCACATTCCTTGGAAGAAACCGTGTTGCATCCCTATAGATTATCGTAATTGTCCGCTCCTTCAGCCACTGAACTTTCACTTGATCGATAGACTCCTTGACCTTGAATCATACGTTTCGTCCTTGAACCGTTATTTCTCCAGGGTCTATGTCTCTGGGGAGGATACCATCCTCATAATAGAGACGAAGGAATTCTCTTACTCTCACATCGTCCTCACCTTGGTCTCCTGGGACGCGGGGGGGGACATGTTTGCTATCCCTGTTCCCGTTTCCGGTTCCATTAGTTTCGGCGTTGCTATCAGAAGTGCTTGAGGAGATGAATGAGGAACTTAGGAAGTGTCGAGAGCCTAAAATGGATGGTTGGCCATTAGACCCAGAAGAGCAATCTTAGCTTTAGAACAGAGGTAAGAAAACTTGAGGGAAGTGTTTGTCTATCATCTGTTACGAGCGGACGTACAAGTGTAGTCCTAGCTATGGTGATCGTGGGGAGGTACCTGTTAGACACGTGTCGTGAAAACTAACAGGAGTACTAACCTTCGTCAATATCCCTGGTCCCGCTTAGAGGCGCGGGCTAGATGACGTCACTTACAGACCGCCATCATGTTGACTGCGCGAGCTGTTGCCCTACGTTCTCCGTTATCGGTCGAATAACACTTGGTCCGAGTGCAAATTAGCGCCGGCGGAAACCCTATCGGACCTCCTCCGACCACGACCAATTCTCAAGGAGTGAAGTTTTCCGTACCTTACCTTTCCCATATATCGGCCGCCGACAGAGGGAAAAAAATAAATAAAAAAAAAATGAAAACGGGCCACCCATTCAATTTATCCACGGTCAACGGCGGTCGATCCCCCTTGGCTTCTTCGTTACCTGAAGCGGAATTGATTTTCAAGCGGGGAAAGGTAGCAGGTAGTAGTACTGCCTTTCCCCTTTCCCCTACCCTCTTCCTCCGAACATAACGCACTCTCATTTTGCCTGTACCGGACCGGAAAGATAGATTTTATATATTCATGATCGGGGTGCGTTATGGACTGGCTCATGAAGTTGCTAGTTGCGCGGCTATCCAGCAAAGCGTTGCAGGACGCTTGCCCAACCTGGATGCAGACATACATGAGCGGTGCATTGTTGTTATCGTACCGCTGCGTGCGAAACTCGCGGACCACCTTGGTAAGATACGCCAGGATGTCCCCCAACGCGACTTCGTCATCCGTCGGCCAAGTTGGTGGTGCATAGAAGGAAAGGTAAGTGTGGAGATGAGCACTAAGTGTTGCGCATTGCGGTCCCGACAAACAGCCTGTGGTCGGGAGAGGAAGCCATGCAAAGTCCTCAGACGTGAGCGGGTCCAAAACCTCTATCTTGAACTCGCGCGCCGAATCCCGTGACGAACCACTTGAAGACGATATGTCGCTGTTGCCGGACGGAAAAGAAACCGCACACACTCCTTGTCCTTGAGCTTGAGTACCCAGCGTTGGAACGAGCCAGGCAGCATAGTCCTCAAAAGAAAATAGRAGYGGAGGACTGTCKACTTCCGCGTGCGCCTYAGAATRAAGGYTGGTCACTCGCGAAGAAACCAGTTCCGAAGGCGTCGAGAGTGTCGTCGCGTCACTCTCGGCGGTGCTCAGTTTCCCTGTCTTCCCTTGCCTTTCAATGGGCAAACCTGCGTCTGATGAAGATCGCTGTTGCACCAAAGGCAATAGTGGAATCTCTTGCGCGCCTTGTATGTGGACTCGGAGATGCCATACGGGATCCATGGGCCTGTCTGAGCTGTTGCACCGGGTCCGGGGCTAGAAACGGTGTGTGTCTTCGGCTTGCCGCGCCCTCGGCCTCTGCCGGCGCGGCCACCTTCCTGGGCGGCTGCGAATCTGTCTCCTTCACTGGCAGACGCAGCCTCGCTGGTTTGGTCTAATGGCGCTGCCGCTGCGACCACGGCCACYCTTGGCCGATGCTGGTCCCTGCTCGGGCCTGACGCAGATGAACGGAGGTTCTTGGCCTCCTTGTTCGTGACGATGATCTGGCAGCCTTGTCAAATAATTCCGCCGTCGTCGTCAAGGTGTCCTCGACATGCGTCAGGGCATTGCTCAATGCCGGACATGACCTTGAGATGAAGTAGTGGCGGATGGCCTTGAAGCCCATCTGGATGTCTGGGACTGACGTCAAGCGTTGGTACTCGGCGATCCACTCCGTACTCGGCAGCGTGCCTTGCTCGAAGACCATGAGCTTGTCCATGGCTTTGATCTCTGGCGGCTCCACCTGGAGCCGCTTGTGCCACGCCGCCTTCAGATCATCCCAGTTGATCATGGTGTGCAAGTCCGTTGCTACCACTCCGTACTTGGACAACAAGTTGTCCAACCACGCCCGACACGCGCCCCCTGAGCGAGAGTACAAGTAAGCGTGGTGCTTGTTTTCCTTGACGTTGTGGAGCTGCAGCGTGAGCTCAAACTTGCGAAACCATGGAACCGGATCTGTCTTGATTGAGTCGTGGAAGATCTCCTGCCCATCGAACTTAGGAGTTGTCTCGCGCGGCTCCGGACTCGAGGTGGTGGCGGTAGTGCAGATCCGCTGCTGCAATTGTTGCGTCGCGGTCTGCTGTAACTGTGCGCCATCCTGGAGGGAGCCGACGTGCATCTCCAATGCGGTGAGGCGGTCGGCAGTGTAAGAAGAGCCTGCGTCAGCAGTGGCGACTGGTCGCTGCTCCACCCACTGAAGGCGGTCCTGGAGCTGAGCTACCGTCGAGACCAAGGATCTCCGCCTCCTGTGTAATGCAGGTTGCCAGGAGATCCGTGAGATGCGAGAGGAGGAGTGCTATCTTGTTTGCACTGTCCTCCAACTGGCTGTTCTCGGCCTCGCTTCGCCATTCTGCTGCCATGGTAAGTAATGCCCGCTCTCCAGTGAATATCTTCTCACGACCAGCAGCCCTTGTTGTTGCCTCGTCGTGCTGACACTGTTGTTCCACGGCCAGCAGACGTGCCTGCTCGGCATCCTCTGCCCTTTTCTTGGCTGCTGCGGCAGCGTCATCTGCCCTCTTCTTTGTCTCAGTACTCGAGGCTAACATGCGCGCCTGATAGGCCTCGTCTGTTTTCCCGGCCTTCTGGTCCATGACTGCTGTCTGTGAACACAACAGCATAGACCAAACCGGTGCCTGCTGATGTGGTATCCCTTGCTGCTGACGTGGCAATGCTGACGTGTCCTGCTGACGTGGCCTGCTGACGTGGTCTGCTGACATACTTATGTAGCCTGCTGACGTGTCCTGCTGAAGTGGTCTGCTGACGTGGCCTGCTGATGTGGCAACTTACCAATGCCGCCCCAGGGGGTACCCGGATACAAACAAAAACGGCAAGGTGAGAGATGGCAACAACATAGGTGGGGAGGGGTGGGTGGGATAATCGCCCAACTCACACTTAGATAAGGAGCCACTAATCAAACGAGAAAAGTTTGAACTTTGCAACAAAAATTTTCGAGAAAAATAAAAAAAATAAAAATCCCGATTTTTGTAAGTTCGGTAGGTCTCCCAATCTCCCTTGAAGTACGAAATAATCTCTGAAAGCGAAAAAAAAAATCGACTTTAGATTGCAACCGATTTATAGAACCAACTGACAGAATCCTAGAACTGCGAAAAAAAGTCCGAACAGAAATGACAAATATTCGGATTTATTCCGATGGGAATATTCGTAGTTTGAAAAAAAATAATACGTGCAGGAGGTATTTCCCATACCGTTTTCAGAAAAACGAATTTCAGAAAAGAAGATATTCCGAAGTTCTAAGTACGGGAAAATGCAACAGAAAATTGAAATTTTCAAAAAGAAATATATTCCGGATTTTTAACAACGAAATTTTGAATTTTCGGAAAGAAAAACGAAAATAGGAATTTCAGATGTTGCGATATAGCGATTTTCCACATAAGAATAGCGAGAAAATAAAATCCGAGAAAAGAAAAAATTTCGATTTTTTTTTGTAGTAAGGTCAAGATTGTGATTTTGGGGTTTAACTAGTATGTCCTAATCAACAGAAAAGACTAACTAGCTTTTTGATCCCCGCACACGTGTCAGATCAGATAGTCCTGATTCACGTGCAAAAGCTCCGATACCAACTGTTACATGCACAGATATGCAATGTACGTAATAAACCGAGAATCTGCAATGTGATGAAAAAGACTGAATAGACAATGCGGTACGAGTAGAATCTCGACAAGCAATGTACATTCTCATTCATACATAAAGATGCTGAAGAGTGCAGGGAAGACTTTGATACAAGACTGACATGACAGAACTGACCTCATTCACGTAGTTCAGAGTCACGAAGCAGAATGCTAGAGTACCTCTAACTAGCCCAATCAATGTTTGATCTCAGACTAAACATGCATTGTATCCATCACGAAGTGTGAAGGAGCCTGGCGCTACACACAGGAAGAAAGTGCCAGGTCCAGACATATACAGACGAAGAGATAAGGGACAGACGAAAGAAGGGAAGAAGATGGGAATGTCGTTAACACCAAGTCTTGGTCACCAATCCCAAATAGTCCCTCGTTGCCATGTCTGAACCCTCGAAAGTCGAGTCTGGATCCAATGTCACCAAGCTCTGTATTTCTTCTCTCATAGTCTGCAGATGCAGTGAAGTCGGAAGTGAGAGGGAGAGAAGAGATGGTGGACTGAGAATAATAAGAAGAAGAACTCTCTCTCTCTCTCTGTTACGAACCAAGTACTAACCTGTGATGTTGGCGCTGTGCTGCAGGTACCTCGAAGACGAAGCTGGAGCAACGACGCTGCAGGTAGGTACCTCTGGCCTCCGCCCAAGCTCTCTCTTTCTCTCTCTCTAGTACTACCTAGCTATGGCGCCCAGCGCAGGAGACTACAACTACCTACTGCGCCCAGCGCTGAAGACTACTAGCTAACGCTACCACTACTACAACGGAGTGCTCCCTCCAGAGTGCTGCACCCGAATCCTGAAGACTACAACTACCAACTGCCTACCTCGGAAGTGCCTGGGAAGTCCTATGTACTACCTCAGCCTGCCTCCTGACTGCTGGAGGCCAGTCAGTCCGAGGAGGCAACTCTTGCCAATGCCAAAGTGTGCCAGGGGCTGGCGTGCAGCAGCCTGCTTGAGGCTGGCATGGGAAACAGTCTAAAGATAGGCTGTTCCCCAAAACCCTGGTTTGGTGCCTGCGTTTCAGGGCCGGTCGTTCTGATGAACGACCGAATACGGCCCTTCGTTTCAGGCTAAAAAGGCTGTTGCCATTTTTAGTCTGAAACGACCAGGGATAAGCCCTGAACTTCAGGCTTTTGGCCTGAACCGACAGGGGGCTTGTAAGCCCTGGATTTCAGGCTTTCGGCCTGAAATTCAGGCTTTCGGCCTGAAGTTCAGGCTTTTAGCCTGGACGGGCGCGAGCCTGCAAAATGGCCCGTGTGTGCACGCGCTGCATGTAACAAACGGCAAACCCTAATAAAGTATACGTGTTGGGTTACCGTGAAGGTCTCCAAGTGGAAAAACAACCCTTTGCCAAGGTAGGCAAAGGTCATCTATACTTAGCCACAATAGAAGCCGAAAGGTGGAAGAGTGGCATATATTTACATTACTAGGGGTCATGATAAAGTGAATTATACCCGACTACTGTAAGGATCAAGAGATGGACGGGTAATCGTGTTTGGATCGTTTTGGCTGAAGCATACCTTACTTATGCTTGCTCGTAAGACTCACTATGAAAGTCGAGAGATGGAAGGATGAACCTCCTGTACGGATATTTTTTCCCCCCGTGATACTCATATTATCATTTAGATTCAAGAGAGAAGGAACTACTCATCTTGTTCTACTCTTGGGTACACTATGGTTGTTTTTTTCATAGTTGAATTATGTAGATGATCACCAAGTGCTTGAGCCCTAAGTAAGTGCAACTGGATGGCTTGGGTATCCTAAGAATTAAATTGAACTTGCTCATTTTGTTTCCGGTCTGATAGGAGTCATGGGAGTTCGTTTTCTGGAAGCAAGTGTTACGAGAGTTTCTACGAGATCAGAGACTTTGCCAACCTTTAGATGTTACTTAAGTCAAGAGATTTCTTATCAGATTTTGGTTTATGTATATTTTAGGAGGCTACTTCAAATTTCTATCTTCAAGTAGATTTCGAACTTCAAATAGGGATTGTGCTACTGGTAGTAAAGGTGTTGGGATCATGTTGACATGTGTATATTACATGTCATCTTTGTCGAAAGATTTTCCAAAGAGACTCCACAAAAGTTTGTACAAGGTAACATTCTGTTATCATTTTATAACAGGTCGATTTGTCGACTAAACGCTCACCTCCTCCTTGTCATTTACATCCTTCCCTATTGGAAATGACAATTTTTTTTTTTTTTTTTTTTTTAATTACCCCCCCAGTGAGGCAGGGCGCATTCTTTTCTCTCTATTACGGACCTAGCGCCCAAGGTAAGATACATGAATTAGATATCTAAACCACCAGTACTTGGCCCAGCTATGGAGTCCGAGCCTTGACCGAGCGATATGCCGAGCTGTGCCAAGGCTGGAACTACTTGGCACTCACTTCACATGCGTACTTGTAGGAGAAAAGGATTAAAAAAAATGAACAATGAAAAGAAAAAGAAAACCAGAGAAACTAGAGAGAGAGAGAGAGAGAGAGAGAGAGAGAGAGAGAGAGAGAGAGAGAGAGAGAGAGAGAGAGAGAGAGAGAGAGAGAGAGAGAGAGA